AAAAAAAAAGACAATTCTATAGGTTGTCCTGAGGCTGGATAGTATTAATAACATCACTAGATGTGACTTACTGTAGTAACACAGAGCTTTGTGTACAAAGGGCCTGGGGGCTTTACCTCCTTTTGTTATGACCCTGGATAAATGACTCAGTCTCTCCAGGCTGAGGTTTCCACCTGGAGAACGTTTCCATTCTGTTCTGAGGGTTAAATGAGATGCTATAGGTGAAGTGCCTGGCACCTGGTTCCCTCCCCCAACCTCTTTTCTGTTCTTCCTAGTTTAGAAACACAGACGGCGAATCCCAGATTTCCATAAGCTTTGGAGATTTGAATCCTATAGTAATCTAGGAAAACCACATTTGCCTAAACCAGACATTGTAAGCAGGATGTAGTCTGACAGTCTGTCCTGTTTGGCAGGCATAGTATTTAAAAACATTTTTAATTGGCTGCCAAATTTTAAAAATCTAGAGAAGTTACATAAAAATCAGAATTTCCCTCTTCTGAAAAACTAAGGAGGGATGGCAATGCTGGGCCCTCATCCTGTCCTGACGGCCATGGCTTACACTGGGTGGTGGCCACCTCTTGAGACGGGACAGGAGTGATGTGGTCACGACATTGTCTCCATTCCCCACTGAACTTCATCCCGTCTGCCTCACTCAGACTGCCCCTCTCCAGGATCTGTTTGCATTTAAATCCCTAGTCCGGCCCATCAGCGTGTCTTCCATTGAGCTCTGTAGTTGAGCAGCAAACCCTTGCGTTGACAAAGGATAGGACAGGGTGCCTTGGCCAAGTAAGGAGTTGAAAGCAGCAGGGATGCTGTCCTTCCTACTGCTCTCTTCTAGAGTTTTTTGGACCCAATCGTCAGGGATCTAAGAGACCAAGAACTGGCAGGTAGAGATAAGATGGGATTTGGCCATGTACACGGGAGTTTCTCAAGGTCAGCCACAGACTCAACACTCCCTACGGGCAGCCCATGTGCAATTTCACTCATAGCTCTTTTGATTAGCAGAAAGTTAAAGGGGGAAGAGGGACTGAACAGGCAGACATAGCCGGTGCCAGAACCCTGTTCTGCCTATTTCGAGCTGCATCTACTTTAACATAAGTCTCAGTTTTTACAAAAGAATTGTTGGGAGGATGAATTGATATAATCTATAAAGCACTCATTGGTTGAACGAATGAATGAAGACTCTTTCTGTCTGGGATGCCACCCCACTCATCTTCTTAACCTAGAGATCCCAGCCCAACTATCACACCCTGGAGACCTTTCTGAAAGCCCCACCTGCATGAATCCTGCTCTCATACTAACATAGACCTCTCCTTCACAACATTGATCACAGCTGTGTTTTTGCCATCACTTATTTGAGTGGTGCCTGTCCCTTTCCCTAGACTGTAAATCCCAAACTCTGAGAATGGCACCTGCTTTTGCCAGCCTTTATCTCTGATGCCTGGTATGGCCTGTGTGCTCAGCACAGCTTTGCCGATTGAATAAATCAATGAGCAAAATGTCACTAGCTCATTAGTGATCAAAAATCATCACTTATTGACCTTTCTCCCCACCCCACCCCCAAATCTTTGGCAGTCCCTACTCCGAGTTCAGGCAGCCTCCGTTTGGGCCACTGACCATGTTTAATGTGGCTGGGGACATGAAACACTAGCTCCTCCTTGGGTGGCATTCTATGCCGAAAGCTTTCTTCCAGCAGGAATTGAAGCCTGAGCACTGAGACCTGTTTTGAGTGCAGATGTTTGAGAAGCCCTTTGTTCCCTGCAGTTAGACAACAAAGGCGGAATCCTGGCACAATTACAGACAGCGCCTTTCCTCTCGGAGGAGGGAGCAAGGGCATCGCATCACAGCATCTTCCCTTCGCCAAATTACTAAGAGCTGGGTTTGAATAAATGCTCCCGGTGACTTGCAAGTCACCCAAGCAGTGGTTCTTTGGCTCTGGATTCCGTCTCCAACAGTGGCAGGAGGGACTGTTTTGTAGCAGAACCTGGTCTATAATGACAAGAGATAGTAGCTGTCACGGCTCAGTGCGGGCTGCAGGCTGCGGGCTGATCGATTTCAGTGGCTACTGGCGTGTATGAGCAGCAACGCTGTCTGTCCCTGACTGAGCCCTTTACACATGGTCTGCGTGGCCCTTTATATGCCCAGCAACTCTATGGGTGCATTCTGTGAGCACTACCATTTTACAGAATAGCAAACGAAGGCACAGAGAAGTTACCTCACTGCCCCTTAACACTTACTATGTGTCAAATAATTAACCACAGCTCCCTTCCTTTGTTCCTGTCCTGTCCTTAACATCCCCCAACTGCAGAGCCATCCCAGGGTGCAGAACGGGATCGCCACATTACAAAAGGTTGGGAGGTAGGAATGCGATTATGGTTGAATAGTAGATTCTCCCTGCTGACAGCTCCAGGCCTCCACATGAATATCCAATCTCTCGACCCAGGACCACTTCCTTTCTTATCAGAAAATGCACTTCCTTTACACTAGAGAGCACTGAAGAGAGGCTGGGAGCTGCCCTTTACAGAGCTGTGGCTTGTCCACGCCCTGGGAGTCATGCAGTGATCGGCATATCGGCTCTGAAGGCGGTTAGACTGCAATCACATTCCATTTCTCCCATTCTTTAGCACGTGCTCTGACAAGCTATTTATTTCTCCTTCCTTGATTTCCCTGACTTGTCATATTGCATTGGTCAGAGTCTTCAGCATCAAGTTGAATACTGGCTGGAATGGTACCTAACTTCTCCAGGCCAGAGTTTTCTCATCTGTAAATGGTAATACTTAATGAACCCATTTTACATGATTGTCAGGAGGCATTTAAAATACTTGGCATGATTCCTGTCACACACTAAAATGCCCCACACATGCTGGGTATTGTCACTGTCACCCATGCAAGGGGGCTGGATAGTGGGGGGATGGAGGACTCCCGTGACTCCAAGAGGTACTCGGTTGTTCTTTCTGGCTCCTACGTGGCCCTACCATCTGTCTCCTTATTGCACCTGGTAATTTAGCTTATTTCCCCAAACAGGTACCTGTACAAACTCCGCGACCTTCACCTGGACTGTGACAATTACACCGAGGCCGCCTATACACTCCTCCTCCACACCTGGCTTCTCAAGGTACTGCCCTTCCCGTGAAGGGGATTCATGCTGGCGTCCCCATGGAGCCCTCCCAGCGAGTTGAAGAGTTTAAAAAAGGAAAGGAAAGGAAAGGAAAAGAATTAGCCAAATAAATTTTGTTTTGCTCTGTGTCCCCAAACTTTTAACCTAGCAGGTTACTTTTCTGCACTGCGTTGTCTAGTCACATAAGGTTTCAAGTGACCTTCACATTTAGCAGCAAAAACAACCCCCTGAGATATGTCTTGCGTTTTACATAACATCCAAACTGTTTTATATAACATCCAAACATCGGCTATAAATCATTAGCATGCCCCGTGAGCTGTTTTCCTTCTCTTGAAAGTGCCGCCGGAGCAGGGCAAAGTCTGAAGGATTTCCTTTGGTTTTTGAAGAGCTGGGACCATGGCCTGCAGGGTTTCAGAGCAAAACTCGACAAACCACACTTGTGAGCCAATAGAGAAAGTCAAATAAGCGTGAGGGGGCGCTTCCCGAATGGAAACTCCAGACCAGCACCTCTCTCACTGACCACTGACACCCAGGGCGGCGGGGAGGCCGGCGGGGGTGTTTGCAGGGATTCCTCCCACCTCCCAGCAGTGGGGGAGGCACCTGCCCCAGGTGACTATACACGTGTCCTCTCTCCACAGTGGTCAGACGAGCAGTGCGCGTCACAGGTCATGCAGACAGGCCAGCAGCACCCCCAGACCCACCGGCAGCTGAAGGAGACACTGTATGAGATCATCATAGGCTACTTTGACAAAGGAAAGGTAACTGGTTCTTGCCCTTCCTCCCTTTGCGGGAACCCTAGGTACCGGGAAGGACCGTTCCCTCCCAGACTCTCCACCCAGTCCCTCTGCTCTGCTCAGCTCTCCCTCCCAAGTCTGATTACTTCCCTCCATCCCCACCCCTGCCACCTCCGTTCAAAGCACCAACATTGCTCATCTGGCCACTCAGTGAATCCTAAGCAACCTCCCTGCATCCTCTATCCCCACAGCAGATCATCCTCCATTTAGGAAACAAGGTGATCATAAACCTGTATTGGGTCACGCCATTGTCTTGCTTCTAGCCATCTCAGATGGCTGTCCCCTCCACTTACAACAAACTGCACAGTCCTTCCCATGACCCATGAGACCCCACAGCAGCTGTCCCCTGACTACTTCTCTCATGTCATCACTGCCCAGGCTCATGCTCACATGTTCTATGCCAAGTTCTTTTTCTACCTCAGGACCTTTGCACTTACTTTTCCCAGCTTAGAAATTTCTCCTCCTTATCTTCCCCTGGCTGGCTCCTTCTCATGGCTCAGGGTTTTGCCCAAGCAAAGATCGTCATGTCCTGAAGGAGGCCTTCCCAGACCACACGAGACAAAGCAGCACCCCTGCCCTGAGTCACCCGTATTACTTCTTCAAAGCACTTGTCACTATCAGACATCACCTTGATCATCTTGTTTTCACTTGATCATTGTCTGGCTCCAACTTGAGAAGGTTGTGAGCACAGACTTGTCTTATCCACTGCTGAGTCCCCAGAACTGGCCTGGAGCCTGACATACAGGTGCCAATAGATACATGTTGTGTAAATGAATTAATTGAATGTATGAAAGACATCAAAGTGTCATCATTGATCTCTAAACAGCAAGAACAGGATGCTTTGTTGGGTTTGGTCTAGAGATTAGGCAGACCAGCTGCTGCTGTTCATAGACTTCCAGGAGGCATCAGCCCAAATGCTACCGTTCATCCCATAGGGGTCGAGGCAGCGTGGCTAAGTGCTCAGGCTCTAGGCTTTAGACCTTGTTCCTCTACAACCTACAATCCCCTTGGCCTTTCGGAGACTCCAATTCCCCGTCCATAATAGTGAGATGTTAAAAGTACACACTCCCTAGTTGCATTGTGAAAATTAGGTGAGGGGAAAAACACTGCGTGTAGAGCACCCAGCATAGGACCTGGTACAGAAGAACAGCCTGTTAAACTTTAACTGTCATCATTATTATCTGCTCTGCCTTCAAGGCGCCAGTAGACCGGCCACTTCCTCTGCCGAGCTTGTCTGGAGTCCTCTGGCTTACCTCCAGCCCGCCCCTCCTCTGAATGGCAAAGCCTCTTACAGTTCATCAAGACATAATTTAGCACTTAATTTTGGCCCGTTCTGTTACTGCAGTTCATTGCATCTGTCTTAGTCTGATCTCCCCACCTTCCCTGGAAAGATAAAATGAGGTAATGTCTGTGGATGGGCTTATAAATTCCCAGGAGCTGAGCAGTTACAGAACACTGTTTTTATAATTTGTAATTATAAGCCTCTTGAGGGCAGAGAGTCTGCTGTCCCCGGAACCTCCTGTCCTTCTGGGCATCGAGTCAGTGCTTCCTCTTGGCTCATCAGCTGATTAAGCCAGTCACTGTGCGAAAGCCCCCAAAGGATGTGTTGAGCCTTGTCCTCTGCAAAGTGTCCAGGTCGATCCATCCTGTGCTGAGCAGAGAGGAAAAAGGGCATAATCCTCGGTGTCAAGGGGCTTACTACCTAGTTGGCAAAACAGACGTACCAGTCATCATCTTTTTTTTGGCACATGACCCTTTGGTGCTGTGTCATCTTGGGGAAGGGAGAGGGAACAGGGTGGTGCTAAGGTACTCTGGGGGCAGAGAGGAGGGAGCAGATGGGTAGAGCACACTCTGAAAGCCACTGCTACGGTGGCTTCTAGAAGAAAGCCCAAACTCTTCAGCATCCCTTTAACTTCCTTTCCCTGTATCTTCCCTCATAGAGGCGCATTGATCTAGACACACACAATGTCTTTCTGCTCCATAAGTGCGTCTGTCAGTACCTGGTGGACTCCTCTACATCCGTCAAAACCCAACTGTTACGTCTGTTTACATGTGTGCTTTACCCACTTCTGTTTCATGAAAGCAGAGACTCTCCTGTTCATTTTTTCATCTGTTCCATCACCATATACCTTAACATGCCTAGGAGCCAGCAGGTGGCTCAGTAACTAATGTATGAGACTTGGAGGTCCCAGGCAAACCTGGAGGAAACACCAGGGATCTGACTCCCTGCCTGTCCCCCTCCTTGGCCCCTTAGTGATCTCTTAACACATGGGGAGAGTATTTTTGGCACATTATGGTGGGAAGTTGGCAAAGACCTTCACCTGAGCCAAACAGTCCTCTGGCCCAACTTACCACCATCTTCTTGGTCAGGCTAAGGAGAAAGAAAGCCCCAGCCCAGCCTGGCCGGAGGACGTGACTCCTCCTGGCACGTAAAGCATTTTTATGCTGCTCACTAAGCTGTCCATGGGTTTACAGCCACGGCTCCTCCACTCAGCACTTGCCTTTATTTATTTTTATGCTTGGATGCAGAGAGAGCACTTTTGCTACAAAGCACACACTGCATTTTGGCAAGCTCCCCTCTCTCCTCCCCCGCCTCCCCCAGCTTCTCCATTTAGGTGCATCTTCCATTTTAAGCCAAATGTGAAATCTAATGGGTGTCCCTTGAGATTGTCAGATCTCCAGCCCACCCAGCACCTCCCCCTGCCTCTCTGCAGAGGTTCCTGATCCCTTCTGTCTAAGATGGGGGAGATGATCTATTGATTTCAGCCAAGACAGAGCAGAGGAAAAGGACTCCCTATGTCCAGAGTTTGTTTTTCAGAATTCTTTTAAAAGATGGAAAAGACCTATTTAAGAAAAAAGCTTTAATCATTCTTTTTAATACTCTAGTCCCACCACCACCTCCACCTCTCTGCTGCCCCTGGCCCACTCACCCCAAATAACCCCATTAAGAATTGATAGGTATAAAGTTTCATTTAAGTAAGATGAATAAATCCTAGAGGTCTGCTGTACGACATTGGGCCTGGAGTTAGCAATTATGCATTGTGCATTTAAAAATCTGTGAAGAGGACAGATCGTAGGTTAAATGTTCTTACCACGATTTTTTTCTAAAGTGAGAGAAAGAGAGGAAGGGAGGGAGGGAAGACATTTGCCCAAAAGGAAAAAGAAAGTGACAGGATTGACAGAGTGGAAAGATCCCAGGAGCAAACATTAGGAAAGCTGGATCTGGCCCCAACTCTGTGTCTAGAAATTTTCTGACCTCCGGCCGCCTGCTTACTCCTTTGTGGACCGTTTCTCTTTGGAAAATGGGGCTAACACCTCCCTGCCCGACCTGCGCGCAGGGAGACACATGTTAGTTTACTAAGCTCTCCTGAGGGAGGGAAGTAAGTGCAAGGTGGAGAGCCGCATTCGGGTGTGCATCCTGGCCCTGCTGTGGGTTGGGCATCCGATCTGGGCCACATGTGTTGCCATCTAAGGTCCATTTCTTACCTGGGAAGTGCAGATACTATTATTCACCTCTCAGAGTGGTTGTGAAGATCCAGAGAGCACGTAAATAAGGTATTTAGCCTCATCTGCACGTGTTCCATTATTTGTCATGAAACTAGGATGAGTGGCAGAGGAAAGGTCGGCTTCCTGGGAGGCCCCCGGCTTCCTGGGTGTGGGGCCAGGTCTGGGCCAGAGTGAGGCTTGTGGCTCAGTCCCAGGAGCAGAGTTTCCCTGGTCCCTTCCTTCTGCAAGCCTGGAGGTTGCCGTAACCTTTGTCTCCATGACCTTCCTCGTAGATGTGGGAAGAGGCCATCAGTCTGTGCAAGGAGCTGGCGGAACAGTATGAGATGGAAATCTTTGACTACGAGCTGCTGAGCCAGAACCTGGTAAGATGTCCTCGGGGGGAGCTGGCTGCCCTGGAGGCTGGGTGCCCAGGGCCTCGGCTCAGCAGAGAGGCTGGAGAGAGGGGTGGCAGGGGCAGGAGGCCAAATGGGATTAGGGCACCGGGAACGGAATGGAAGTCGGGCCCCAGGTGAGCAAGGCTGTGCTGAGTGCCTCCCTCCCAGTAGGGAATATTTCCAAAGGGAGATCTTGCTGGAAAGCTCATCAGTGACAGTTTCTTGGATGGAGTGTTAAGTACCTGCTTGGCGCTGGGGCTGATGCTGCACACCCAGTAAACACTGCTACATTCGCAGTAAAATTCCTACAAATCACTAAGCCAATGAAATAAAAACGAAAATCTGTGCTTTCTGATTAACAGATAAATCACATTAAAATGCTCCCCATCTGGCCATTCCCCATTAGCTCCTCGAAGCTTGTGATTTGGTGGAGGAAGTGGAAAGTAAGGGGAAGCCAGCCCATCCTGCTTCTGCTGCAGAGGCCAGGCCTTGGCGGGGAGGTGGCCTCCACAGGGAAAAGGCAGAACATTTTGGCTTATCCCCACACACATATTTCCTGGTGGCCTGAGAACCAGGACTCCAGGGCCCCATCTCAGCCCACTTCGAGAGGCCAGTCCAGCTGTTTCCAGGGAACTATAAAATGAGAGTCAGAAGGTTGGAAGAAGAAATAAAGCTTTTTTGGTGGGGGGATGGGTACGGTGTGTAGTGTTCCAAGATATGATGCGAACACACTGCTTGCACCAAGAAACACTATACGTGCTTGATTCTATCCACATAGATGTTTCTGGGTGTGGAAGTGCACACATGCCTTCCAAACAGGTGCATTGCACACGCACATACAGCACACATTCATACACGCACACCCATGCCCAGCATACGTTCATGCACACGCAGATGTGCGTGCACATCTGTGCACCAAGACCACATCACACAGGCTCACGACCAGGACCACATGCACTTCTCTTCCATGTTGTGTCGAATTTAAGACGCCATCGCTTGGGAGCCATACCATTCTGTTTTACGTGCCCCATCGCGATTTCTCTCCACTTGATAGCAATCGGAAGATGCCGTCAGGTAGAAAGTTAAACACAAAGTGTTTTCAAAGATGTTAACATATGAAAAATACACACCTCTCAGAACTGAAGAAACATGTGAGGTGTGCATACACAGGGAGACATCTGTATTCAGAGACACCTCCATCCACAGACCGTCACAAACGTACCGGGTGCAGTGGAGTGGCGGTGGTCCGGGCTCTGGACAGCTGGCTGGGTTCAGTTCTGTGCTCACTGGCTGCACCGTGAGATACCATTTCTTTATCTGCAAAACGGAAATACAGTACTGTGGAACTGTTACGAGGGCAGTGCAAGTAAACGTGCTAATGCAGGTGGCGTGATTAACAGGATACCTGGTATATCGTAAGTACAGCTCGCTGCTGGTGTGGTTTTAGACGTCTCCACGAACATGCAAACGTGTGCACTTGGCACGTGGGTTCTGCTGTAATGATCACGTCTAAACTGCGGCTTCTTGGAGCTGAATGTGCCTTTAATCCACATCTGTGTTGTTATAAGCTGTGAGCTTTCTTCTTTCAGATCCAGCAGGCAAAATTCTATGAAAAAATCATGAAAATCCTCAGACCCAAGCCAGACTACTTTGCCGTCGGATACTACGGCCAGGGTTTCCCCTCCTTCCTGCGGGTGAGTCTGGGTGACTCAGGCACAGACCAGGGCACCTGGGGCCTTGGCATCTCATGTGGGCTCTCCCTCTGTGTTTGAGGCTCTGCTTGTGCTCAGACCCTGTGCGCTCCTCCTCACCCTCCTCTGTCTGAGCACCGTCCCCACCCCCATGTGCTCCCCTATCCCCCTCCACTATCAGCACCTCAACACCTGCTGTGTTTCTCTAGATGCACAGCAACCAGAGCTGCCGTGTGAGGTAGTGAGCGCCCCATCCCCGCAGTGAGATGCTCAGAGAGGCGGGAGGAGCTCTGCTACGCGTTCTCAGACCTTTTGGTCTCAGGACCCCTTTCTCTTAAAAAATATCAAGGTCCCTGAAGAACTGTATTTGTAGACTTCATCTGTCTACATTTATGATACTCAAAATTAACACTAAGGGAATGTTTAAATGCGGTCATCCCTTGGTATCCACCGGGAATTGGTTCCAGGACCCTCTGCAGGTACCAAACTCTGAGGATACTCAAGTCCCTTATATAAAATAGCATAGTAGTTGCATGTAACCTCCCAAATACTTTAAATCAGTTTTGCATGACTTAAAAGGCCTAATACAATGCAAATACCATGTAAGTAGTGGCCGAAGTGCAGCAAACTCAAGTTTTTATTTTTGGAGATTTCTGAAATTTGTGTTTTCAAATATTCTTGACCCACAGTTGGTTGAATCCATGGATTCAGAACCTGAGGATATGGAGGGTCAACTGTATCCGTTTATTAAACAATAATAATAACACTAATTAGCACATCGTGTGTTGCATCTTTATGGCTCTGTTTTCCCATAAAAATTAGTGTGAAAGTGAGTTTGTTTCATATTTCTGCAAATCTCTTCAATGTCCATAGTAAGAGAAGACAGCTAGATTCTGAATGTTTCTGCATCACGCAGCCTCTGGAAAACTCTGCTGTACTCTCGTGAGAGAATGAGAGTGAAAAAGCCAAACAGCATCTTAACTGTCACGATGAAAAGAGTTTTGATCTTGTGAGGCCCTGCAGGAGTCTAGGGGCCCCTCGGGGAACCCTGGAGCATGGTGTCTGAACCGTGTCTGCTTTTGTAGAGCGTTGGATTAGGTCAGCTGTAGGCTTCCTTCTGGTCTGTGAGTCTGTGGTTCAATCCTGACTGAGGTCAGGGAGATACAAAAGAAACAGGAAATCTGATCCTCGCCGTATTTAGTATGGTCAAGGAGATAAACCCCTCACTGGTACCAACCCACGTGGAAATCAGGGTGGGCTTACCGGAGTGACCACCACGAGCTGCAGAAGAGGCAGATATGAGGGTTTCCTCCAGGGAACAGCGGTGACTTCCCACACCTGATCCTGCATCGGAACCCCCGGGGGAACTTGTTGAAAGTCTACGCCCCTGGGCCTTACTCCCCCTGACTTTATTTCAGCAGGTCTGGAGTGACGCCTGGAAATGTGGACTTCTGAAAGTCTCCTAGGCTTCTGTGATGAGGGGCCAGGTTTAGAAGCACTGACACAGGGAGGTGGTGGCCAGCGTGGGTCTGGACAGAAGAATTTAGGGGTCGTTAGATGACACAGATATGGTCTAGAACAGGGCTTCTCACCTTCAGCTCTATGGACATTTTGGGCCAGGTAACTCTTGGCTGTGGGGCTGTCTTGTGCAGCATCCTGGGCCTCCACCCATTAGGTTCCAGCAGCGCCCCTTCCCAGAGCTGTGACAGCCAAAAATGTTTCCAGACATTGCCAGCATCCCTTTGGAGGCAAAATCACCCCCTGTTTGAAAACTACTGCTGTCGAAAAGGCTAACGTGGTCCGGGAAGGATAAAGAGTGTGTTTCCATGGAGCCACTGATGAAGGACCCGGATGCTGATCTCTTCCATCCCACAGGCTCAGCCCACATGGCCCATTAAAGGCAGGAGGGAAACTTTGTGGTCTTGTAAATGGGAGAGTGGGTGTGACACAGTGTGAGCTGAGTAAGGAATTATTCTGGAAGCTGTACATATGATGGTTTGAAAGATAAGTTCTCCGCATCCGTGATCTCTCCCTTTAGAAACAATTTTTTTAAAGTGGTGTGCCCAGACAGAAGATCAGGAAGTTGAGCTCCTCTTTCGCCTGGGTCGGGGGATACAGAGAAGGGAGGGAGCTATCGGAAGTCACCACAGCCCTGTGCTCATGTCACAAGCGTCCCAGCTTGGCTTGGACCACGTTCCCCAAACCTGGGCCCTGACATCTCTGACCGGTGTCATTTCTCTGCAGAACAAAGTGTTCATCTACCGAGGGAAGGAGTACGAGCGAAGAGAAGATTTCCAGATGCAGCTGATGAGCCAGTTCCCCAACGCGGAGAAGATGAACACAACCTCTGCCCCCGGGGACGACGTCAAGAACGCCCCGGGCCAGTGTATCCTTGAGGAACGCCCCAGCCAAGGGCCAGGCGTGGGCAGCCCTGCCAGGACATTAGTCCACAGAGCCCCATCTTAGAGCTCAGAGCTGCTGCCAGAACCATTCCAGTGGTGCCAGTTTTAGTGTCCACTGCGGGATCCAAAAAGAACCCAACTCTTAATGGTGCATTCATTGAAAAATTCACTCCCTCCCTCATTCCTTCAATCTTGTAGTGAGTACTGTCAAGCCCTGACTGCCAAGCTTTGTGCAAGGGATTCCACTCGCAAAGAGGTCCTACCTGCAGGGAGCTTCTAGTCTAGCAAGTAAAGGACATTAAACAACTAATTGCATCATTAAGTGTACATTGATAGAAATGTGATCAGTGCCCTGCAGGGCACTGTGATTGGGAGGGCACGGAAGGTGTCCTGGGGAAGGTGACGTTTAAGGTGAGTAATCAGTCAAAGGTTAGTGGGAGGTGGGAAGGATGTCCCAGACAGAGGGAAGGACCATCCTGTGCAAAGGCCCTGAGGTTCCAAGAACTGAAATGGTGCCACAGTGCTCTTATAATAAAATCAGAACTCCTGAACAAGGCCTGCAAGGCTGTCATCTGACCTCTGTCTGCATGTCCAATGTCATTGCCCTCGACTCTCCTTTTGCTTTCTCATGCCCCACTGGCTACATGGGCCTTGTTTCTGAGCCTTAAATATGTCCGGCTTGTTCCCACCTCTGGGCCTGCGCATTTTCTGTTCCCTCTGCTTGGAATGCCTTTCCGCCAGCTCCTTTCTCACCTGTCAGGTCCTAACTCAGTGTCACCTCCCAGAAGAAGCCTGCCCTGGTCACCTTATCTGAAGTCTTCAGGACTCTGGTATCTCAAACCCTGTTCGTTTTCTTTAGAGAATTGATCACAACCCGTCCTCACCTCTTGAGCTTTTAAAGGTACGCGCAGGCTAGACTGGAAGCTCCTGGGAGGGCAGAGCCCCGTGCTGCCTTGCTCATCGCAGTAATCCCCAGAGCCAACTCTCAGAAGATATTTGGCTGGTTAACGCAGAGAGAAAGAAAACGAGAGAGAAGGGGAAAGAAAGAGAAGAGAGAGAGACAAACAGAGCAAGGAAGGAGGGAGGGAGGAGGCAGGGGAGCCAGCTCGCTGGAGCACACTGACGGCTGAGGTGACGTGGATGTGGCTGGTGAGACTGGACAGGATATGCTGTAATCTGCCTCCAGTGCAGCAAAGCATGATGTTCATAAGGCCGGGAGCCGACGCCGCTGGGCAGGGGCAGGGCTCAGGTGGCAGGGGGCGTACAAACCCAAGGATGAGGCGGACAGCTGGGCGAGCGGGAGGGGCCGCGGTAGCCCAGCCTGGCTCCCGTACTGCGTCCTGTAGCACAAATTAAGACACAGCCTTCAAAGTGGGGCCAACAGGTTGCATGCCTGGTCCGCTAAGTCTAACGAACCTTAATCCAAATATGTTCCCCTCGGGCGATAAATATTCACCAGTAACCTTTTCATTATGCTCGCTGGCCCTTTGTGCCTGCTCTGCCAGGGTTATCTGCAGGAGGAAATGCAACCGGTGGCGGGGCTGGCTGGTTACAAATGTGAGTTTGGTTCCAGGCGAGACACGGGATTAGCACTGAGGCCCTTCTAAGTAGACGTCCTGGTATTGAACAGCTCCGTGGCCTTTTGGCTTGCGGTGGGAGGAGGGCACGTATGCTCCTGGCCGTGTCATCATACGCAGTCTTGCTTCAGTGCCAGGAACCAGGTGGGAAGGGAAAGAGGAAGGGCTGATACTTGCTAAAGGTCCTCTTCATGCCACACTAGACTGAGTGTTTTATAACTATTATTTCTTTAATCCTCATAAAACCCTCTAAGATGGGCATTAATTTACCCTATTTCATAGAGAAGGAATATGGGGCAAAGAGGTAAAGCAGTTTGTCTAAGGTTACAAAGCTAGTTAGTGATGGAGTTGAGATTTGAACTCCAAGATCCATCTGTCTGAAAGTCTGTATTCTTTCTATAACACTGTCGTTTTGTTTAAGATTGATGGACAGAATGTTCTTCATTAACTGTTCATCGTGTGTACCGGGCATTTTTTTGAGTTTCATTTTATCCTCATAATAATCGTATGAGTTGGGGATTACAACTCTCTGCATTTTACAAATAAGAAAACAGGTTCAAAAAATGTAAATGGCTTGCCCAAGGTCCCAGGAATTGGTGGAACTAGGATTTGAACTCAGGTCTGAATTTTGCCAAAATCTGAGCTCTTAACGCTCTGTTCTCTTGCCTTCATGTGTCGAAAAGCTGACAAGCAGTTTGGAAAGATGACAGATCTCATGTCTTCCCACTAAGGTATCCAATAGAGGAAAACATTTGAAAGCAAAGTTGTCCCCTGTCCCCTGTCCTCCCCTCTGCCCCGACCTCGGGGCCACAGTTCCATGCATAGGTTCAACACGTGGTGAGAGAGTCAAGCCACATATCCTGCTGGACATGATCGGAGAGCTCTGATGTCGCTGGCTTCCCCAAGACAGGTTTGGACTCTCCTCTTGGACAAAGGTGAATTGCTAAGATCAGTACCCATGGCTTAGAACCTTCTTTAAAACAGGGATGGGTACACCAGAAATAGACATAACGTTGTAAACTGACTATACTTCAACTTAAAAAAAAAGTGAAAAAGAAACCAAAATCAGGGATTGGCAAACTTCTCTGTAAAGGACCAGACAGGAAGTATTTTAGTCCTCACGGGCTTTGTAAGTCTGTCGCAGCTACTCCAGTCTGCTGTGGTGGGAGAGCGGCCGTGGGTAATGCCTGAATGGACACGTGTGGCTGTGCCCCGATAGAACTTCATTTGTGAACACTGACATTTGAATTTCATATCATTTTCATATGTCACATAATACTCTTTTTTCCAATTTTTAAAGATACAAAAACTGTTCTTAGCTGTGAATCATACAAGAACAGGCAGTGAGCTGGATTTGACCCAAGGGTCATAGTTTGCCAGCTCCTGTCCTAGACTTAACCCAGAGTGACTTCCTTCCCAGAGAAGGTGGTTCACAATACGACGTGAGAAGGAAATTAGCCTTCCTGAATATTGTGGAAATCCCTCCCCTGGGGTTTATTCATTTGTGTTAAGCCCTGCTCACTCTCACCCTCTCATCTCTCTCTCTTTCTGTCTCTGTTTCTGTCTCTTTCTCTGTGAGGGACTCTCATTGGATGTGGAAAAAGTCTTCAATGTCTAACAATTAAATCTCCACCATATTAATGTGAATTGAGTTTCTTGGGGGAGGGGGATTGGATTTAACTTGGAATTACATTTGGCGATTTCTTACGTGTGAAAGAATCCTAGCCTCTGCCATCAGAAAGCTCACAGTCCGCTGGGGAGGGGACAGTCGGGAGGAGACAGGTTGCTGGAGAGAGGAGAGTCCTAAGTACAGAGTCATGAAGGGAAAGGACACCTGACTGATGGTAGATTGAACGTTCATGGAGCTGTGGTGGTGATGTGGGGAAGTATTCCAAGCAAAGGGAACAGTAGAATCTGCTGGCTTTGCAGAGATAATGGTGGGAAATGGGTTAGGATCCTATTGGAATATTTGAATACTTCATATTCAAATACTGGCATATTTGAATGCCAATGAGAGGACTTTGTGATTCTTCCATTGGCAGAAATATCAGGCCCAGGAGAAGAGTTTTTGGAGTTGTGGTGGTCATCGGGTAGAGCAGAGAGATGGGAGAACTTGGATATCTGAAGAAGATAGATGGGTAGAGAAGCCATGGGAGGTAGGGAAAGGGAAGTAAGGTTCAGGTGATGACTGGCCTTTTTTATTTGGTTTGCTATATTACTGACTTAAAATGGGCATAACAAAAACCTGGCACATGCGGTGCCTCTCCTATATCCTGTGCCCACAGAAGGCATCACTAACTGATCACAGAACTCCTTCCCACTGAGCCTGGATATGGCCTGCCATTCCTGCCCCAGGCAGTTACTCCCGAACTTTCAGAGTCAGAGTGCAAAATGGCAGGTGTCTGCATGCTTCTCAAACTGGAACATACATATGAATCACCTGAGGACCTCACACAGACACAGACTCCGATTCAGTGTGTCTGAGGTAGGGCCTGAGAGTCACCATTTCTAACAAGCTCCCAAGTGATGCTAATGCTGCTGGGTTAGAGGGCCATATTGAATAGAAGTCTAGAGTCAAAGAACCCTGAGTTTAGGGTAGAAAGACCCAAATACAGACCCTTGCTCTGTGCTCACAAACTGTGTGACCTTCAACAGGTTGTCCAGCTTCTTTGACCTTGATTTGACCTTGATGTCCTTGTTTGATTCAATAACGCTGCTCAGTGGAACCGGAGAGATGAAAGGAGACCGTGGGGAGACGTGTTCTGCAGATGACTGAGAGCTATAAATGCACTGGGTGTCATTCATGTTAATGATAACATAGCAATGATAATGAGGCTTAAGGACTACTAACCCACTGTTAGCAGGGGCTGCGCCCTGGGTTGGGGTTGCAAAATGACAGGCCGCTCTGATAAGGACCAAAGTGACTGCTGACTGGTCAGCCAGCAAGCACCCTGAGGTTGGTCATTCATTAAAAACTTGGCCCTATGAGGGACTGTCCTGGGAGGTCTCAGCTGGGACCGTCTGTGCTTGGAACTGCCGACTGACACGTTGTGAGTTCTTAACGGCAGGGATCGCAGACATCCAGTGTTTCACTGTCCAGCCCGTCCTGGATGAACACCCGAGGTTCAAGAACAAGCCAGTGCCTGACCAGATTATAAAGTAAGACGCCCAGCCCAGGGGAAGGAGGGTGGGGAGGAAGATTCCCATGGGCCCACCAAGCTGAGCGGGTGGCAGGACAGGCCCTGGTGCCTTCTAGTTTCTTCTCTATCCGAGCCAGCCTGCTCTCCCTTTCCTCTTGGGAGAAGCATCACCCCGTCAGCCCTCTGGACTCTGCCCTAAAAGGCTGACACCAGAGACGGCAGAGAGGAACGAGGCTCACCTTGCGGCACAGCGAGTCCTCAGGAAGCAGCAGTGAGATTCGCTGAACTGGACATGGAGAGCCTGTCACTCAGACTGATCCCAGAGTGACTCCAAGGAATCCACAGCCAAAGGGGGTGGGCGGACAGGTGATGGGGAGGGTGGAGGACGGGGGATGGTGCTCATGCTGAGCACGTTCTCCAAGGGGCATATTTTTGGCATTTGACAGGGCTGTGTGTTGACAGTGGATCTGTTCAGATAATGATTTTCAAAAGTGGGGGGCATTAGAGGGAGCGGCATGAAGGCAGGTGTTGATCTGTTTAATACCAGCCCGCAAGGTCGATGATGAGGCAACGAAGCAGGGGGTCCTTGGGATCTGCAAGGCGCCAGGCTTCCCCGCTCCAAGCTGTCCGGCTCACCCTCCTCGGGTCTAGGTGCCCAGTTTAGCACCGTGCATGCCTTAGGAAAAGGCCTCTCCTCTGGAAGGACCTGTCAGAAGCAGGTGCTTCTTTGTGAGAAGCATGGCCTGATCCTTCAGGGAGAGGCTGCCTCGCACTAGTGCAGGAGGCTGAGCAGACGTAGCTCAGCTTGGATCTCAGCCTTCCGTCGCCCTCTGGTCCAGGCACCCTTGGGCAGGGCATAACAACCGCACAGCTAGCACCGTTCCCTGCTGACCCTGAGGAACCCCCCCTTAGAGATTAAGGAAGAGTGACTTAAGGGGTGGCTGGGACCCCTAAAGAATCCTTGGAAGATCCCCCGGGACGTTAGGCTGGGACCTTAGATGTATCTCGATCCTTCACTGAGATCACAAGAAGCAATGATCCAGGCACCACTAGGTGCACTGATGGCAGACTTCCAACTTTTTCAGTACTCTGTGGGGTGCTATGTTCACACGAGGGCGTAAGGCTGGCCGGCCTCTAAATCATCTTGCAAGGGAAGCCTGATTTTAAATGCTACAGCAAGGGCTCTGCCAGAGCTGGAGTTTACTGCAGTGGGCCTCCCTGGGCAGTACGGGGCCAGGTCAGGCTTCGCTGTCAGGAGCCTCAGGCCGCTACCTGTCTTGCAGCTTTTACAAATCCAACTATGTACAGAAGTTCCACTACTCCCGGCCGGTGCGCAGGGGGACGGTCGACCCTGAGAATGAGTTCGCCGTAAGTATCTCCCCCACCCTTCAGATGCCTTGATCATTCCCCTGGGCCTCCTCTACCAGAGCGTGCACTGCCAGGATCAGAAGGGGAGGGCATCTGCTGCAAAGTCAAAGGGAGGAATGCTGCTTCCCATCGGTCCAGTGACACCTGTTCTCCCGTCTCTTCCGCTGTGTTTGTTATCTCATTTCTGGAGCCTCTCCACTCTCAAGATGTAGCCCAACCCGGGCCTGGAGTGAGATGCACTTTTCAACCACAGGGCATTCAGGCATTTCCAGAAGGTAGGGCCCCTCAGGCTAAGCAGGGGCGTTGATGAAGTCAAACCTTGCAGGAAAGAAGAAGCCACAAGGCTTCCAGTCCCCTGTGTCCCCTGTGTGTTTCCCAGCCAGGACCTGTCTTCTATTCCCAAAGGCCAAGGCTGGCACGAGGAGGTGGCTCCAAGTCTCTCTCAGCTCCTTGCCCTAGACGGTGATTCTTCATATCTGGGGACTCACTGCCCCTTTAAGAATCTAACGAACACTGTGGACCCCTCCTGCCCCCAGAGAATGCAGGTGGATGCATTCAATATTGCCTAAAAATTCTGCCTGTTCAGAGACCAGGTTAAAACTTACTGGACCTAAATCCAGGGAAAACTTAAATTTCACTTTGAGAAAGAATTCTTAACGATAAGGTGGGAGTGTGTTTCTGGGTCTTGTAGTATTTATTCTGATTCCGGGCAGATAGGAGGCCTGGGGGCCTGGCTGGGTTCCCGCCAGACTCTGATAGCCAGGTTTCATAAGTGTGTTGCTCTCTTGCCCTTGCCGCCCCTGCCACTGGACAGTCGATGTGGATCGAGAGAACCTCCTTCGTCACCGCGTACAAGCTTCCGGGCATCCTGCGCTGGTTCGAGGTGGTCCACATGTCCCAGGTGAGTCTGCGGGCCTTCAGGCCAGAGCCAGCCTCAGGAGGCTCCTGTGACTGGAAATAGGGACACGCTTTTGTTCAAAGCCACTGTGGGAGTTCAGGAATTCCAATGCAGGAAGGGACCTGAGGCAGCATCCAGTTTACCTGCTTTCATATTTTTTTTTCAGCATCAGATAACATTTTTTTTCTCTGCAAATGAAAGGTACCATAGAACCCAGTAATAAAGCTGATGGATGGGGCTCTTCTGTGTTTGGATGCAGAAGGGGAGGCAGAGGGTCTGGAATTCCATTGACACAATCACCCTCTTATATCCTCCCAACCCAGCAGCCCTTTGAGGCCCCTCTGCAGAATCTTACTATGAACCCATTTGATAGTTGGATAAACTGAGGCTAGGGAAGGGAAATCACACAGAGGCAAAGCTCTGGCTAGTACACAAATGTTTGAACTCTTGTGCAGATAGCGTGTATTTTGCTTCTCAACACACTTCAGGGTCTCAAACAGCTAAGGGTCTTGCAGTTCCCAGGATGCAAAGGGAAAGCCAGGGTGATTGTGAGGAAACCTGAGAAGCAGGGACATATTCAAGATACCTTATTCACTTACTCAGTCAACCAGTGTTTAATGAGTTTCTAACACATGCCAAGCACCTGGAGATTTTGCGATGAAGCTTATATTCTAGTGGAGAAGACATACTAAAAAGTCAAAATAAATATATATTATGCCAGGTGGAGAGAACCACTGTGGAGAAAAATGAAAGAGAAAGGTGATGAAGGAGGGGTTATTTTAAGCAAAGTGGTCAGAGAAAGCCTCCCAGCTAAATGGCTTTTGAGCAAAGACCTAGAGAAAGTGAGGGGGGTGGTCCATGCAGACATTGAAGAGAAGGGTGTTCTAGCAGAGGGAACAGCAGGTGCAAAGGCCCTGGGACAAAACATGCTTGTGGCTGAATCAGAACGAGTGAGGGGGGAGTGGCAGTTGTCTGACAGCAGATCAGGGAGGACTCTGCAGGCACCAGACAGGCTTGGGCTTTTCCACTAGGTGAACTGGAGCCACGAGCAGAGGAGGGACATGGTCTGACAGACATCTTTGATGATCAGCATTGAGACTGCCCTCTCCCGCCCTGAAGGCCCCCCAGCAGCACGGTGGTCCTCCAATCTCCTTTTCACAGAGGTGGCCTAGACCTGAGGGGAAATATCCTAATGATGATGATGACATCAACAGACATTACTGAGCATGTGCTAAACTGTTCTTATGCATGACCTCATTTAAACCCCTCAACAACGCGGCAAGGTAGATGTTCTTATTTTCCCATCTTACAGATGAAGGAGCCGAGGTACAGAGTCAGTGGGTTGTTCAAGTTTAATAAAAGAGGCGAGGTTTGACTTTAACCTCCCGTATCAGACACCCGGATGGACTCACTCTCTCCGTTTTCCTCATTGTGTCCCCAGCCCACCCCAGTAAGTAGTGCCTTGGAGAGGAAGAAACCATTCATGCCCTTATTCATGGGACACATCAGTGCACAATAGGCTTTGACAAGTGTCCCAGACGCTGTGTCAAGGGCTTGATGGCATTATCTTATTTAATCCCGCAAAGCCCTGTGAATTACACAGTATTATGGATCCCATTTTTGAAATGAGGAACAGAAACTTCCTGCTAATCTGTGGTCGCTACCCATTGGCCCTGGCTGTGTCCTGTCCTCTGGTGATGCTCAGTAAGGTGCCCCTGCTCCTTCCGCTGTCCCCACGGGACTGTAGGCAAACTGAGGGGATCCCTGCCTGCACTCCCTGCAGTTCCCATCCCCCACCGCCACCACCACGGTATTTCTCCTCAAAGCACCGATAACCTCCTAACAGATCACATCATTTGCCTGTGTGTTTATTTTTAATATCTAGAATTTTAAATCTAGTGACATTAGGATATAAGCTCCTCTAGACTGTGAGCTCCAGGAAGACAGATTTTTGCCTGCTTTGTTCCCTGCCACACCTCTGAGTGCAAAGCATAGTCCCTGGCACATAACTGACGCTCAAGAATAGTTATTAATGAAGTGAATCCATCAAGCAGTCACTCAATTAATAGGCAAAACCCATAAGCAGTTGCTTTTGTGTTATAGAAATTGTGTCTTGCCCTTCTTGTTTCTTTCATGAACTGTCATGACTACAGGACTGTTTGTACAGAGAGGTGTTTTCTGATGGGATTCAAGTGTAAGTTCTGCTGGAGGTGGGGGGTATTTCCTTGTTCTCGGCCCCAAGAATATGTAAGCTTTACAAGAAGCCCTGAGCTGGGGGAGGGAGGTCAGAGACCCAAAGCAAGGAGTTAGGTGATGTTGGATAAACACAGTGTATCTCTGGCCTTAGTCTTCTAATCTGTAAAACAGAGATTGAAATACGATGGAATTTCAGAGCCGAAAGACACTCTGGAGGTCATTTAGTCCAAGAGCTACAAATCCAAGTACCTCCAGAGCCCAGGAAGATAACATAAATATGGGAAACTGTCACCTTAAGACAACGGGGAGTGGTGGAAGCTGTGGGAAGCTCCCTCCAGTTGAATTAATAATAATAGTAGTAACAATAAATTAGAACTCACGTGCTGGGTAAAATCCAGCTTGGCCCACAGATCTCCAGTGTGCACCCCATTCCTAGTTCTCACCCAGTTGAATTATTTTGCATATGAGAAGACTGAAGCCCAAAGATGGGACCTGAACTGCCCAAGTGATCAGTGGCAGAAGTAAGTTGTAATAATATGCCTATTTTATGCTGCCCAAAGGATTCCTAAGAGGACTGAAAAGGGTAATGTGGGGAAATGCCTTTGCGGAGTACGAAGGACCACTTGATTGCAAGGGGACCTGGCTACCAGCACTTCATCTTAGGACCTACTCAGGGCCAGGCTGGGTGATCATACCACCCGCTGCTCTAATCCGTCCGGCTAAGTGTTCACACATAGTAGGTGCACAGCCTCTGAGACCCCTCAAGTCCCTGACATGTCTGGCCCGTCTCCCCAGGGACACCTCTTTCTCACTAAGCACAAATTCAGCCTGTTTCTCCCCAGACAGCAGATGGCCCCCCTGGGCTCTCTCGTTACAAGAGCCTGCTACAGCCCCGAGGGGAGCTTTGCCTCTTTTGAATTCCAACCCCAAGTGAAATCAGTACCAATAATTACATCTGTTTTTGAAGCAACCTGCTAAGGCCCTCTCTCCTTGGTGATCTCGTTTTCCAACAGAGCACAATCAGCCCCCTGGAGAATGCCATCGAAACCATGTCCGCGGCCAACGAGAAGATCCTGGTGATGATAAACCAGTACCAGAGTGACGAGAGCCTCCCCATCAACCCGCTCTCCATGCTCCTGAACGGGATCGTGGACCCTGCTGTCATGGGAGGGTTCGCCAAGTACGAGAAGGTGAGGCCCTGGTGAGGGCAGAGCAGGGGCAGGAAGGCCCGGGGCGGATACCGCCGCAGGCCACACGTCTTACTGCGGGTGTTTGTCCCTCAGAGGGACGCATCAGCTTGCTTGGACCTCATACACCTTCCAGAGTTTCTGTAGCCTCACTCTCGCTTCCTCCGCACCCTCAGTGCCATGCTCTGTGCTGTGGCAGGAAGGAGCAGGGGTCCTAAAGGCCCGTTGTCCCACTGGGCACATCCAGGTGCCTCTGGCAAGGAAAGGCTCTGGGATGACCAGGAGACAGACCATTAAAGTCAAGAGCCACGAAGTAAGGCATGTGCCACCCATGTGAAGACATCTTTTCTATGGATGGTACAAATGCTGTCTATAAATGAGAAGAAATGAAACCCAGAATCTGTGAACATATAGAAGGGATAAGAGATCAACTCCAAAGGAGGAGTTATAATCTAGATATCCAAGTTATAGAAGCCCTCCTGAAATCCCCACACATTTCAGGCACAGATTTCATTTTTGAGCCTCCTGGTGTCCATGGCAAAAAGGGAAAGGCCATCATTTTTCACTTAGGGGTAAATAATAATTTCTTTTGGTGAGGGGACTTAGCCTTTTCCAACACTGAAGTAGAACAGAAAGTTTTCATTTGGTTTTCTCCCAGGCCATGCATTAATGGGACATTGAGATTTTGAAAAAAATGGACTCATCATTCTTATAAACCTCATGATGAATTCCTTATTATCTTCCCTACATCATCCATTGATGTAAAACTAAGAATACAACACAATAGTATAATTCAGGGGCAGTAATTCTAGTCACCCAGTCAGTCCTTCCAGGTACCCTTGGATACCCCAGATAGTCATCACTGGTAACCTTTGTTCAGCCTTGAGAGTTGGATAAGATATGTCTGTATGTACGTGCGTACATACTGAGAGCATGGGCCCCAGAAAGAGCTGGGGCTGCCGAGGCCACACACAATGAGGGAGGCAGGGAGGTGGGCAGGAGAGCCCACCGGGGGAAGTTCCTCACTGAGTTTTCCCCGGGGACAATGCCCTGAATGTGCAGCAGAATCCCCTCCAGGGCTCTTAACACACAGCCGCCCCCACCCCACCCCCAGCCCAGAGATTCTGATTCTGTGGGTCTGGGTGGGGCCCAAGAGCGTTCTTCTCTGCCAGGTTTCCAACGATGCCTGCTGCGGCTGCCAGTCCAGAGACCACACTTTAAGTGCTACTTCCCTGGAGGTTGTGTCCGGTCCCCAGTGGGGACTGATTTGAGGCTCTACAGGTGCCTGACTGTGGCCCCATCCAAACAGGAATGGCCTCTTTCCTGGCCCTTGCAAATGGAATCCTCTCCCAGTGCCAGAGAGATGGGTTGTGGGGTGCCCCCAAAGGAACTGTCTGTCCTCCTAGGCCTTCTTCACTGAGGAGTACAGCAGGGACCACCCCGAGGACCAGGACAAGCTGAGCCGCCTCAAGGACCTGATTGCGTGGCAGGTAAGAAGAGCCGGACTGGGCAGAGCCAGCCCTGCCTCCCTCCTTCCCCGGCCCTGGCTCAAGCGCCCTCTGCTAGCCTCTGGCTGGTGTGGCCGAGTTTCACCTATTCTCCTGCCCTTTGGCTTTTGCCCTTTCTTCTGACTCTCTCTTCACCTGGGCAGGCACATCCTGGAACCAGAATTTGGGGCACGGCCCCCTCGGGGTGCTGCACAGGTTGGGGCCGGGCAGGGCAGCGATGCTGTGCTGTGCTGTGCTGTGCGTTGCAAAGACAGGCTGTACCAGTTGTAGAATTCAGGAGGTGGCTTCCCCCAGTGGGACTGAAATGCAAGCCGGGCTCCCACACACCTACCATCACCTGCCCCCACACCCGGCACCCGCCAATCAGATACTAGGAGAATTCGGCCCCCACCCCCACCTCTCCTCCTTGTAAGGCTGACCCAGTTTGTTGCAGATAATGCTCAGATGGATATCAGGTTTTGAAAATAATCGAGGCCGTGGTTTGGTGGGTTTGGGGTCTAAGGGCCTGTGGTGGCGGAGGCGGTGGCCGGCAGGAACTGCTCTGCTCTCCCGGCTGGAGCTGAGCCGGCGCCTTGGAAGGACCGTCCTCCCAGCTCCCTGCTCTCTCCCGCTGTCTGCTGGTCTTCCCTGCATGCCCCCGCTCCTGGCCCCCGTGCCTTCCTTCCCTGCTCCTTCTCTCTGACTCTTTCTGGGCATCTGTCTCTGTCTTTCTCCTCTTTGAAGTCCTTTGCTTCTCCCCCTCCCCTCTCCGACTGCTGCCTCGCTCTGCCGCCGCCCCCTCACACCTCTCTCCTGGCTCCCTTCCCTCCCTCTTCTCTCTCCACTGCCCTCCCTCCTTGGCCGCTTCTCTCTCTGGCCCCGTCTCCTGTGTTTTCTCTCCCTCCATCTCTCTCCTGCTCTCTCCCACTGCCTGGAGAAGGAACAACCCAGCAGACCCCCTCCTTCCCCTAGAGGCACCTGGAGGACCAGGCTCCCCATCCAGGCCTGCAGCCACCCCTCCTCAGACGTATCCCTGCTCTCCACGACCACCAGCACCTAGGGGGGGCTCCGGAGGGGGCTGGAGGGAGGTGAGCCCTGAGCAGAGGGCAGCCCTGCAGCTGCCGGTCACAGTGCAGAGAAAAGCACACTACTGTGGTCCGGAGTTCTTGTTACTCTAGGGAAATCAGAGAATGAGAAGCACCGGGTGCAGCCTCTTTTCTTAAAATAAGGATTCCTAATTCAGGTCCTTCTCTGCCTCTGCCGATTTATGCAAAGTGAGGCCTTAAAAATGAAACACTGAGCACCAAGCCCTGCACAGACACATTCTCCTGAATGCATTTTGTGTGTCTGGAATTTTCTCTCCCTTCTTACCTTGAGCCACCTGTGAAACCCAGACATCCCCGAGGGCCCCAGCCTTCCGAAGTCATCACACCTGTTAATACTCAGATAATGATCGTGCCCCGCCCCCGCAAGCTTGGGGAGCAGGAAGACCCAGCTTTGACTGGTTTCCTCCCTCCAATATTTCTGGGGTGCCCCAGGGAGCCCTAACAGGTCACAGGCATTAGATGTGACGTACAGTATGTACCGCTGGGTGCCTGGCTTCTGTTCAACATAACGCCTTGGGATTTATCCAGGTTGTTGCGTACATGTAAGGGAAGTTCTTTTTTGTTCCCAAGTGTTACTCGTTGTGTGACAGTACAGTCTACCAATAACACCAATTTATGTATCCATTCTCCTGTTGATGGTGGGTGGTTTTCAGGTTCGAGATGGTATGAAAAAAGCTGTCCGAGCATTCTTACTTATGTCTTTCGATGGACATGAGCACTCAATGCCCTCACTGTCCGCCTGGGTCACACATGGCCTCTTTAGCCTTTTCCTGGAGACCAAGAAGCAGTTTTCCAAAGTGGGTGAGCCAGTTTACACTCCCATCAGCAACTTCTGTGAGCCTGAGTCGCTCCACATCCTCACTAACACATGACAGTGCGAGTCTTTCCTTTTAGTCTTTCCAGTGCTTGTGGGGTGGTACCTCAGTGTAATTTAAATTTGCTTTTCCTTCCTGAGCAAGGGTGTTCGTTGCCTTTTCATGTGTTTATTGGCTAATTGAATAACCTTTCTGTGAAATGTTTGTTCAAATCTTTTATGTTATTAACCGAATTGTCTTTTTATTAATAATTCATAGGCATCTATATATATATATTCTAGATATGAATCCTTCATCAAATATATGTATTGCAAATGTCTTCACTCGGTCTGTGGCTTGTCTGTTTACTTTCTTAATGGTGTATTTTGGAGAATGGAAGTTTATAATGTTGATGAGGTTCAATTTATCCATTTTTTAATGATTACCATTGTTGTGTCTGCTTTAAGAAATCTCTGGCTACCCCAAGATCATAACGATACTCTCTTACATTTTATTGTTTTATCCCATACACTTAAGTATATGCTCCATTTTGACTGACGTGAAGTAAAGGATAAATTTTTCTTTTTTGGGGGTGGGGAGAATAATTAGGTTATTTATTCATTTATTTTTAATGGAGGTACTGGGGATTGAACCCAGGACCTTGTGTGTGCTAAGCACGCGCTCCACCACTGAGCTATGCCCTCCCCCAGGATCAGTTTTTTTCCTATACAGATTTCTAATTATTCCAGCATTGTTGGAATTTGTTGAAAAGGCTGTTATTTTCCCCAGCTTTGACATAAGGTGATCACATATGTGTCAGTCTGTTTCTGGAATTTCTATTCTATCCCATTGGTCTGTCTGACCATGCTTGTACCAGTACCATCCTGTCTTAGTTACTCTAGCTTTACAGTAAGTCTTGAGAGCTGGTAATGAGAGTTCTGCAATTTTTTTTTTCAGATTTATCTTAGTTCTTCCAATCCTTTGTATTTCCATATAAATCTTTAAATCAGCTTGCCAGTTTTCACACACCCTTCAAAACACATTGAGATTTTGATTAGGGATGTATTAAATATGTAGGTTAATTTGGGAAGAGTTGCTGTCTTAATGATGTCGAATCTTCTAACACATGAACATGGAATCTCTCTCCTTTTATTTAGTTCTTTCATTTCACTCAGCAAAGTTTTGTAGTTTTCATTGTAAAGGTCTTCCACATACTGTATTAGATTTGTTTTTAGGTATTTGATGGTTTCAATTCTATTATAAGTGGTATTGTTTTTAAAATTTTTCTTTCTGTCAATATAATCACAATTTTTTTGGTATATTTATCTTGTATCCAGTAACCTCACTTATCAAATTCACTTTATAAGTCAAATTCTTTACACTTTCTTTTGGGTGTTCTACAGATAAAATTATATCAACTGCTAATAGAGTTTTTATATGTAGCATTTCCATTATCCTTTCTTTTTTAAATAAAATCTTTGTCTTGGATAAAAAATCTTTTCTGTTTCTATATATTAATTTTTTTAAAATAGTGCTTTCTTAGGCTCTTTTCGTACTCTGTTTCTTCTAGCTCAGTCCATTCATTCTTTTCTTCCTTCCTCCCTTTTTGCTTTTTTTCCCTATCTGTTGGTTCTGCTCTCTTTTATACTGGAGAATTTTCTTCAATGCCTGGTGATCCTTGGTGGTCTGTTCACAGAGGCCAGGTAGCCAGCCTCTGGCTCATCGTTTACCACCTTTCTCTCCAGATCCCCTTCCTGGGAGCTGGGATTAAGATCCATGAGAAACGGGTGTCAGAAAATCTGCGGCCCTTCCATGACCGGATGGAGGAATGTTTCAAGAACCTAAAAGTGAAGGTGGAGAAGGAGTACGGTGTCAGAGAGATGGTACGGGTGGTCCCCATGGCCGGGAGGGGTGACATGGGTGGGGTGGGTCAGAGAGGACCATGAGACCAGAGCAAAGGAATCTGCCCTCGAAGAGATGGGCCTGAGGGCCAGCAGAGCTAGGCTCAACCCAGAGACCCTTTCTGTAAACTTGGTCCCTCAGAAGTCACCCCAGATAAACACCAGCTACAGATGGAACCCTTAGCACTCAAGGCACCGTGAAGCACCTACTATGTGCCAATCTGATCTAAGCACTTAGGTCTTTTAGTTTCACAACAAGCCTGGGAATGGTTTTTAACCCCTCGTATCTCTTCTGGAGATTCCAGGGTGCTAAGTGACTTGCCAAAGGCTACGGAACAAGTGCATGCGGTCGGAATTTGCACCTGGCTCTGTTGGCCACTAATAAACTCCGTGGCCTCAAAAGGCTGTTGGCCTGGTGCTCACAGGACATATTCTTTATCCTCTTCCCCAGACAGTGGAGTTAAAAAATGTCAAGACTGTGTGATCCCTCAGAGGCCACCTGGCCCAATCCTCTGACTTTACAGATGGGAAAATCGAGGTCCAGAGACGGGAAGTGAGTTACTGGAGGAGCGTGGAGGTGAACTTGGGTCTCTCGTCTTCTGGTCTAAGAGCTTTTCCATGAGACAAGTTACTCCCTGCATGACATCCCAATGTGATTCTGATGGTCACTACCCAGAGCTGGGTCACATTGCATAGGTTAAGGACAGAGGCCTCCACAAGACTCTCCTCCCTTCAGACGCCAGGGTTCCCAGGCCACCTGCACCTCTGACCAACTGGTTACACATTTGGAGATTCCCACCCCCTCTTCCAGTCTGACCATTTCACAGAACTCAAGAAGTCGGCCCTCCCTCGGTATCTGTGGATTCACTATTTGAAGATTTGACCAACCGAGGATCGAAAATACTTCGGGAAAAAAAAATCCAGGAAAAAAGCAAAACTTGAATTTGCTGTGCTGGCATCTGTTTACCTCACATTATGTTGTATCTACAACGTTCACATAGTTTTAGGCGTTATAAGTAATCTAGAGATGACTTCAAGTATACGAGGGGATGTGCATAGGTTACAGGCAAATATACAAGGGACTTGAGCATCCATGGATTCTGGTATCCTGGGCGTCATGGAATGGATTTCCCCGTGGAAACTGAGGGACAGCTGTCCTTATGGGTACAGTTTTATTATACAGGAAACAAATCAGGATCAGCCAAACCAAGAGATGTATAGGGTGAGATCTGGGAGGCTCCCAAATGCACAGCTCCTGAGTAATCAGGACCCATCACCTTGTCTGCCCTACCCGTACGTCCATGTGCGATTACCAACCAGGAAAGCTCACCTTAGCCTAAGGTCTGGAGTTTTTATTGGGGTTTCATTACATAGGCATGACGGAACGAATCACTGGCCGTGTGACTGAAATGAATGTCCAGCCCCACTTCTCTCCCCGGAGGCTGAGCTGATTCTGTCTGGCTCAGAGTCCCAGCCCTATAATCACAAGGCTGGGCTTTCTGGCCAGCTCCCATCCTGAATCTTCTCATCGGCGTAAAGGAGCCACTATGAAAAACAAAGTCACTCCTATCAGTGGGGAAATTGCAAGGATTTAGACATCACCTCCCAGGAACCAGGAATAAAGGCCTGACAGATTCTTTATTAAACCCCTTAGCCTCAGCTGGCCAGGACGTTTTTGTCCTGATGTCCTGCTCTGTCCCCCAGCTCCGCCTGGCCAGGTGGACCAGGAAGGCAGCAGGAAGGTGGAGGCCACATGCCCCTGGCCTCCACCCGACCTCAGGCCTGGCTGCTAACCACCCTGCTCTCCTGCCCGCAGCCCGACTTCGAGGACAGGCGGGTGGGCCGCCCCCGGTCCATGCTGCGCTCCTACAGGCAGATGTCCATCATCTCCATGGCTTCCATGAACTCCGACTGCAGCACGCCCAGCAAGTCCGCCTCCGAGAGGTCAGTCCCCTGCCCCAGGCAGCCCCTGCCCGCTGCCCCCTCCCAGTCCCCAGCAAAGCCTCCCCGAGTCTCCCCCTTCTGTCCCCAGGGCTGCCCTTCTGCCACCTCCTGCCCTTCTTTTTCAAAGCCTTCCCCCACCTGGGGCCTCATGAGAACCCTCAAAACTACCCTATGGGGCTTGGAGCCACTGTTAGGGGACCAGTCGAAGCCCAGAGAGATTCAGTGGCTTTTCCTGAGGACCCAGCAGGACTCACTGCAGCCCGCAGACTCCCAGTCCAGCGATCTCCATCAGCCAGCCTGACCCACTCATCTTCTCATCTCTGCTGGGGCTCCGTGCCTCCCAACTCCCCACCCCAGAGCTCCTCCCCCTGTACCTACCTGTACCTCTGTTGGGGTTCTCCTTTTCACCCCAAGAAAAGCTTCCCCTTTCCACCTTCCTGGAGCCCTCTGCTCTGCCCTGCCCAACTCAACTACTGTAATAACACACTGTGAATCGAGCACTCTCCCCAGGTCAAGAATGTGCAAAGGGTCCTCGACCTCATCTCATGGCCACTCTGCAGGGTCACTGCAAACACCCCCACTTACTGAGAAGGAAATCATGGCTCAGAGAGGCTGAGTGATTTGCCCAAAGTATTTCACCTAAAAAGTGACACAGATTTGAATTCAGATCCATAGGTTTAGCCCATTTTCTCTCCTCATCACCAAAAAGTGATGGCTCATTGCCTTCAGTTTTATTTTAACCTGCACTTTGAATGTTTGCCAATTACACAAGTGCCTCTCCAAACTCTGCCAGGAGAGCTGACCTTGACCTACCCCCGGACCCTGTTGTGACGGCTCAGTCAGCCTGGGTCCCTGCAGGACAGTTCCACTGAAGCTCTAACTGCAGTTTCTATTGCTATCTCCACTGCCATTCAGCTTCGACCTGGAACTAGTGCCTCCCAGGACTCCAAAAGCGGAGCAGGAGGAGCCGATCTCCCCGGGGAGCACCCTGCCAGAGGTCAAGCTACGGAGGTCCAAGAAGAGGGCCAAGAGAAGCAGCGTGGTGTTTGCGGACGAGAAGGCCGCAGCAGAGTCGGGCCTGAAGCGGGTGAGCCTCCGAGGCCAGATGCCTCTCCAGTGAGCCATTGGCAAATCTCCATGCACGCCCGGCAGGGTACTGGGGGCTCAGATGTGGTCCCGCTCGAGCCTCACTCTCACAGTGAGGTGGGGTTACAGAGGTGGCGTCTGAGAGGCAGGGAGGTGAAGTGCTTGCCAGCGCCCACGCAGCCCAGATGTGACAGAGCCAGGATCTGAACCCGGGCTGTCGCCGTGTCCTTTCTACCATCACAAAGGGCTCTGCGAGGCTGGGGAGAAGCCGCCTGTCTCCCCGGCTGAAGGGGAGAACAGCCCTCCTGGGGCGGGGAGCAGGTGTTTCTATCTCTCTGCTCTCTGTCCCCAACCTAAGCTCCCCCAGCTGGGGATGCAGAGATGAAATTCTCACTGCCCTGACTCTAAGAGTTTTTATCTTATAAACTAGTAACTCTTTGATATGAGACTTGGTGCCAGGCAGTCCTGGGTTCAACCCTAGCTTCCCCCTGAAAGAGAGGATTGTTGAAAGCATTCTAGGAGCCTGGGATGAGGAGAGATTATTTACTGTCCTGCCAGATGAGAGAGCAAGGGGCCAGCTGAGATGTCTTCCAGTGATGAAAGAATCTTCCAGAAACTTCCCAGTTGGCCTCAGAGTCCAGGAAGAGAAGGCTGGAAATAAGACTGTATTTTACAGTTCTAGGGGGTATCATTCACACAGTAGTCTAAGTGAATGACCTCCCCCTTGACACACACATTGGAGTTGTATAGTATGCAACCTGTGCAACCATACATGGCAGACTGGCATGGAGTGTGACACAAAACAGAATAAATGAACTTGGGCTTGGGTCCATAGAAACCACGTCAAGCCCTAAACACTGGCTTTGCACAACCCAGAAATACCTCATGCTAAGTCTCTGTGGGGTGTGTGTGTGTGTGTGTGTGTGTGCGCACACGCGTGTGTGTGTTATATTCATCCAGCTTTCCAGGAAGCATGAGTTCATGAGTGACACCAACCTTTCGGAGCATGTGGCCATCGCCCCCAGGGCATCCATCCTGTGTCAGATGAGTTTCGCCAGCCAGTCCATGCCCACCATCCCAGGTATGCACCCCGCCACCACCAGCAGGGGTTATAGAGGTAGTGGGGGCCACCAGCCTCGGGGGTGGGGGATAGACCAGAACCGTGTCTACACAGCAAAGTGGGCTAAGCACACTGGGGTTAAGAGGCTTGCTCACAGCACCCCCCACCCTGTTCTCTGAGCTCTCCCCACACCCACCCTCTATGTGGGTGAAGCTGTCCCAGCTGTGTCTTCCTTGTCTTCCAACACCAAGAACCCGGAGTCCCGCCCTCCCCAAGGGCAGGGGCCCAGGGGGGAACATCTCCAACCATGGTGCTGCCTGGTGCTGCCTGCCCCTTACGGCCCCCAGCTCGGAGTCGCACACACCTCCCTGACCCTCGGTTGTGACCCTGGGGACACAGGGGTAAAAGCACAGACCTCAAGAGTGCTGTGAGGTCTGCTGAAAGGACAGGAGTGAAATGGCCATGTACCAGGTCAAACACCAGAGCCGCGTGGGGGTGTCCTGCCTGGGGAGGCTGGGCAGTGCTTCGGGGCACGGTTCCCGGGGCCTCCACCACTTAGTAGCCAGGACAGGCAGGGGACTGACATTCTCAGGGCCTCAGTTTCCTCATCCACACAATGGGCTAATCACCTGAGCCACTTCATAGGCATGAGCTGAGGCTTCAGTGAGACAAAGAAGGAGAGGCAGTTAGCACAGAGCCCGGCACAGAGTGGCCGGCACAGAGACTTGCCACGTGCCAGACTGAACGCCCCTGGGCAGGCCGCGTCCCCGGTCAGGTTTCTAGAACCCCCTCTGTGAATTAGCAAAGGGCATCTGCACGCTGCTGGCCTCCTCCCTGGACAGTGAATGAGGGGGAAATACGAAGTATCTATGCACCAAACACTCTGCAACTATAAGGTGGGGGTGGGGGTCGTAAGTGCTCAAAATAGTGTTCCAGGCCCCCAAAGGAAACACGGGGCTGAGAGACTTGCCAGGGGCCGACTTCTGGTCCCCAGGAGGCCCTGGCTAACTAAGGACCACCTGGTGTGATGTATGGATTCCCAGTAAACCCTGAGGTCCAGAGTGACGCAGGCCTCCACGCAGAGGAAGGCAGGGTCCCAGTGCTGGGGGTCCTCGCCCGGCCCCCTGTTTCCAGCCTGGAAGCCCTTGGATGAGGCCTTGATCGGGCCAGGTTGCCGGCCCCGGTCTGCGGGTTGGGCAGGCCTCGGCGGAGTGGACGGACAGCCTGGACAGCCCCAGCGTGGGGGGAAGCCGGCCTCGCACCTCCTGCCCAGCCCCAGGGCCTGTTCTCCCGGGTTCTGTCTCTGGGCCCCGCCTGCCTCCTGTCTGTCCCCGAGTCACCCTTCCCGACCCCCGGCACCGCCTCTCCGCCCACGGCTCACGGCCGCTCCCCGCCCTCCTGCGTCTCCTGCAGCCCTCACGCTCTCGGTGGCCGGCGTGCCCGGGATGGATGAGGCCAACTCGTCGCCCCGCCTCAGCCAGACCTTCCTCCCTCTGTCCGACGGCGACAAGAAGACGCTCAAGCGGAAGAAAGTAAATCAGTTCTTCAAGACGATGGTGAGCACCCAGACCCA